GAATTTGGGTTGGAAATATTCGGGAATTTGGGCTGGAAAATCAGGGGTTTTTGCTGGAAAATCGGGAATTTTGGCTGAAAATTGGGAGGTTTTGCTGGAGAATCGGGGGTTTTTGGGCTGGAAAATCGGGGATTTGTGCTCGGGGACTTGGGCTGGAAAATCGGGAATTTGGGCTGGAAAATCGGGGTTTTTTTCTGGAAAATGGGATTTTTTTACTGGAAATCGGGGTTTTTGCTGGAAAATCGGGATTTTGGCTGGAAAATCCGGAATTTGGGTTGGAAATATTCGGGACTTTGGGCTGGAAAATCGGGGATTTTTGCCGGAAAATCGGGAATTTGGGCTGGAAATTCGGGAATTTTGGCTGGAAAATCGGGAGGTTTTGCTGGAAAATCAGGGAAATTTGGGTTGGAAATATTCGGGAATTTGGGCTGGAAAATGGGGAGGTTTTGCTGGGAAATCGGGGGAATTTGGGCTGGAAAATCGGGATTTTGGGCTGGAAAATGGGGTTTTTTTTGCTGGAAAATCGGGGAATTTGGGCTGGAAATTCGGGTTTTTTGCTGGAAATCGGGGTTTTTTGCTGGAAAATCGGGGTTTTTTGCTGGAAAATCGGGGTTTTTTTGCTGGAAAATCGGGAATTTTCGGGTTTGAAAGCCGCGGTCGGTGCCGCAGGTGCTGGAGGCGTTCGAGCAGGCGGAGCGGGAGCCGAAGCCGCCCCCGCGCCTCCTTTTCTCCGACGTTTACCTGGAAATGCCCCCGAGGCTGCGGCGGCAGCGCCAGGAGCTGCAGCGGCACCTGGAGACCTACGGGGAGCACTACCCGCTCCAGCACTTCCAGAAATAACCGGGAAAAAACGGAATTTTGGGGAAAAAACGGGATTTTAGGGAAAAAACGGGGATTTTGGGGAAAAAAAAACAAAAAAACCCAAGAATTCTGGGGAAAAATGACGAGATTTCGCCATTCTGCCCCAAAATCTGACCCCCAAAACTCACCTGGAGACCTACGGGGAGCACTACCCGCTCCAGCAGTTCCAGAAATAACCGGGAAAAACGGGGATTTTGGGGAAAAAACGGGGATTTTGGGGAAAAACCGGGAATTTTGGGGAAAAAACAAAGAAAAAACCAAAAAAACCCCAGGAAATTTCGCAATTCTGCCCCAAATTCTGCCCCCAAAACTCACCTGGAGACCTACGGGGAGCGCTACCCGCTCCAGCACTTCCAGAAATAACCGGGAAAAAACCGGGATTTTGGGGGAAAAAAAGGGATTTTGGGAAAAAAACCGGGAATTTTGGGGAAAAAAATCAAAAAAACCCAAGAATTCTGGGGAAAAATGACGAGATTTCGCAATTCTGCCCCAAAATCTGACCCCCAAAACTCACCTGGAGACCTATGGGGAGCACTACCCGCTCCAGCAGTTCCAGAAATAACAAAAAAAACCCCGGGGATTTGGGGAAAAAACGGGAATTTTGGGAAAAAAAAAGAACCCAAAAAAACCCCAGGAAATTTCGCAATTCTGCCCCCAAAACTCAGCTGGAGACCTACGGGGAGCACTACCCGCTCCAGCAGTTCCAGAAATAACCGGGAAAACCGGAATTTTGGGGGAAAAAAACCGGGATTTTGGGAAAAAAACCGGGGATTTTGGGAAAATGCCGAGATTTCGCAATTCTGCCCCAAAATCTGACCCCCAAAACTCAGCTGGAAACCCCCGGGGAGCACTGCCCGCTCCAGCAGTTCCATAAATAACAAAAAAAAACCCGGGGATTTGGGGAAAAAACCGGGAATTTTGGGAAAAAACAAAACAAAACAGGAATTCTGGGAAAATGCCGAGATTCCCCAAATCTGCCCCAAAATCTGCCCCAGATCCCACCTGGAGACCCCCAGGGAGCCTTTCCCGCCCCAACAATTCCAGAAATTTCTGGAATTCCCAGAAGTTCCCTAAAAAAAACCCCTCGGATTCCCTAAAAAAATCCCAGAAATCCCTAATAAAAAAATAGAATTCCCTAAAAATCCCTGGAATCGCCTAAAAAAAAACCCTGGAATTCCCTGATCTCCACCCAAAATCGCCCTCAATAAACGGCATTTCGGAGAGGAGGAGCCTCAGAATTTTGGGGAAAGATCCCCGAATTTTGGGGAAAGATCCCTGGAATTTTTGGGGCAGAATCTCTGGAATTTTGGGGATGGATCCGAAGAATTTTTGGGAATCGATCCCAGGAATTTTGGGCTGGATCCGTGGAATCTGAGACCTCCGGGAATGTCAGGAACACCCAAAAAACCCCAAATCCACGGAAAAATAAAGGATTCGCTTGGCCACGCCCCCTCGTTGTGGCCACGCCCATTCCCCCTCATGGCCACGGCCACGCCCCCCCCAGTTCCCCTCATTAGCGTTAATTAACGAGGCCCCCCCGTTCCCCTCATTAGCGTTAATTAACGAGGCCCCCCCCCGTTCCCCTCATTAGCGTTAATTAACGAGGCCCCCCCCCCGTTCCCCTCATTAGCGTTAATTAACGAGGCCCCACCCCAGTTCCCCTCATTAGCGTTAATTAACGAGGCCACCTCATTTTTGCACTTTTTTGCTTTTTTTAATTGGAATTTTCTCTTTTCCAGGTTTTTTCCTTCCGGGAGGGAAGGGGGAGATCCATGGTGGGAGGGGCCGGGGATTCCCCAAAAAATCCGGGAATTCCTCAAAAATCCGGGAATTCCTAAAAAAATTCGGGGATTCCCTAAAAAAAAATCTGAGGATCCCAAAAATTCGGGGATTCCTTAAAAAATTCGGGAATCTCCCAAAAATCCCGGGATTCCCAGAAAATTCCGGGATCCTCCAAAAAAAATCGGGGATTCCTTAAAAATTCGGGGATGCCCCAAAAATTCGGGAATTCCCCAAAAAATCCGGGGATTCCCCAAAAAATCCGGGGATTCCCTAAAAAATCTGAGGATCCCAAAAAATCCGGGGATTCCTTAAAAATTCTGGGATCACCCAAAAATTCGGGGACTCCCCCTAAAATTCCTGGGATCCTCCACGCCTCGGGAATTTTGTCCATTTTCCGTGAATTTTGTCCATTTTCCGGGGAATTTTGGGTTTTCCGGGAATTTTGGGTTTTCCGGGAATTTCGGGTTCTCCAGGAGGAATTTCCAGGCGGGAATTGTCCGTGGTCCCGGAATTAATGAACGATCCGGGAATTAATGAACGATCCGGGAATTAATGAACGATCTGTGATCCGTAATTAATTGACGATGATTCGTGTCCCGGTAATTGTCCGCGATCCCGGCAATTAATTAAAGATCCGCAATTCATTAATCCAATTAATTAACGCTCTGCGCTCTCCGATTCTCGGGATTTCCCCCCAAAATCCCCGGCATTCATTAACGCTCCGCGATCCCGGCAATTAATTAAAGCCCCGTGATCCAGAACTGACGAACGATCCGTGTCCAGAATTAATTAACGATCGCGATTAATTAACGACGATCCGCGTCATTGTCCGTGCGCCGCTGCGGGCTCCGAAATTATCGGGATTTCCCCCCAAAATCGCCGGAATTAATTAACGATCCCGGTCCATAATTAATGAACGATCCCCGTCCATAATTAATGAAAGATCCCCGTCCATAATTAATGAACGATCCCCGTCCATAATTAATGAACGATCCCGGTCCATAATTAATGAACGATCCCCGTCCATAATTAATGAACGATCCCGATCCATCATTAATTAACGATCTGGGCTCTCCGATTCTCGGGAATTCCCCCCAAAATCCCCGGAATTAATGAACGATCCCGGTCCATCATTAATTAACGATCCTGGATCCATCATTAATTAACGCTCCCGGTCCATAATTAATGAACGATCCCGATCCATCATTAATGAACGATCCCGGTCCATAATTAATGAGCGCTCCGGGCTCTCCGATTCCTGGGATTTCCCCCAGAATCCCCGGAATTAATGAACGCTCCCGGTCCATCATTAAGGATCCCGGTCCATAATTAATTGACGCTCCGGTCCATCATTAATTAACGCTCCGATCCATCATTAATTAACGCTCCCGGTCCATCATTAATTAACGCTCCCGATCCATCATTAATTAACGCTCCGGTCCATCATTAATTAACGCTCCGGTCCATCATTAATTAGCGATCCCGATCCATCATTAATTAACGCTCCGGTCCATCATTAATTAACGCTCCGGTCCATCATTAATTAGCGATCCCGATCCATCATTAATTAACGATCCTGGATCCATCATTAATTAACGCTCCGGGCTCTCCGATTCCCGGGATTTCCCCCCAGAATCCCCGGAATTAATTAAGGATCCCGATCCATAATTAATTAACGCTCCGATCCATCATTAATTAACGCTCCGGGCTCTCCGATTCCCGGCATTTCCCCCCAGAATCCCCGGAATTAATGAACGCTCCCGGTCCATCATTAATGAACGATCCCGGTCCATCATTAATTAACGCTCCCGGTCCATCATTAATGAGCGCTCCGGGCTCCCCGATTCCCGCCATTTCCCCCCAGAATCCCCGTCCATCATTAATTAACGCCCCGATCCATAATTAATTAACGCTCCGGTCCATCATTAATTAGCGCTCCGGGCTCTCCGATTCCCGGGATTTCCCCCCAGAATGCGCCGCCCCCCCCCCTTACAACACCTGGAATTTCCACCCGCTCGGCTCCTTCAGCTCCAGGCACTCCCCCAGCCCCAGATTCACCTTCCAGGCGCCCCCCGCCGCCTCCTTCAGCTCCAGGCACTCGCCCCCCGCCCCAAATCCCAGCCCCGGGGCCGCCCCCGCCCCAAATCCCAGCCCCGGGGCCGCCCCCGCCCCGAAACCCGCGGGGGACGCGGCCAAATTTGGGGGGGGGGGGGTCCCAAAGGGCTGAGCCCCCCCCCGAGCTGGGGAGGGGGCGGGGCCAGGGGGGGACAGGTAAGGGTCGAGCCCCGCCCCCACCCCGAAGTAGGCGGGGAACCCCCCCTGGGCGAAGCCCCCCGAGGGGGGGAAGGGGCGGAAAGGGGGGGGCGGGGACCCCACCCCGCAGGAGGAGGGGTCACAGAGCGGGGGGGGCGGGGACAGGGCGGGGCTCCAGATGGACACGGGGGGGGGGCGGGGGCGGGGGCGGGGTCTGGGGGGCGAACGGGGGAGGGGCGGGGGGTCCTGGGGGGGGGAGGGTTTCTTTTTGGGGGGTGGGCGAGGCTTGGGGGGGCCCGAGCCGCCCTGGGTTTGCTGCTGCTGCTGCTGCTGCTGCTGGCGGCACTTGGCGCGGCGGGTTCTTGAACCACACCTGGGGAACGGGGGGGACAAAGGGAAACTGAGGCACGGGGGGACACGGGGGGGACACGGGGGGCGGAAAGGGAAACTGAGGCACGGGGGGAAACTGAGGCACGGGGGGAACATGGGGGGACACGGGGGGGACAAAGGGAAACTGAGGCACGGGGAGAAACTGAGGCACGGGGGGGACAAAGGGAAACTGAGCCATGGGGGGACACGGGGGGCGGAAAGGGAAACTGAGGCACGGGGTGGAACTGAGGCACGGGGGGACATGGGGGGACATGGGGGGAAACTGAGGCACGGGGGGACACGGGGGGACAAAGGGAAACTGAGGCACGGAGGGGCACGGGGGGGAAACTGAGGCACGGGGGGACCAAGGGACACACGGGTGACATTGAGGTGCCCCTCCTGTCCCACCTGGGACTCACCTGCTCCTCTTGCCCCGCCCCCGCTGTCCCTGTGTCCCCTCCTGTGTCACACCTGTCACACCTGTGTCACACCTGTCCCCGTTCATGTGTCCCACACCTGGCCCCGCAGGTGTCCCAGGTGTCCCATGTCACATCTGTGTCACACCTGTCCCAGGTGTCCTGGGTGTGTCCCAGGTGTGTCCCAGGTGTGTCCCAGGTGTCCCGGGTGTGTCCCAGGTGTGTCCCAGGTGTGTCCCAGGTGTCCCGGGTGTGTCCCAGGTGTGTCCCAGGGTGTGTCCCATACCTGTCCCATGTCCCATACCTGTCCCGGGTGTGTCCTATACCTGTCCCAGGTGTGTCCCGGGTGTGTCCCATACCTGTCCCATGTCCCATACCTGTCCCGGGTGTGTCCTATACCTGTCCCAGGTGTGTCTCACCTGCACCTGTAACTCAGGTTGATTTTGAGCGCCACCTCCTCACACATGAAGATGTCCGGGTACTGCGTCTCACCTGTCCCTGTCCCTGTCCCTGTCCCTATCCCTTTGTCACACCTGTCCCACACCTGTCCCACACCTGTCCCAGGTGTGTCTCACCTGCACCCGTGACTCAGGTAAGTTGATTTTGAGCGCCACCTCCTCGCGCATGAAGATGTCCGGGTACTGCGTCTCACCTGTCCCTGTCCCTGTGTCTGTCCCACACCTGTCCCATGTCCCACGTGTCCCATACCTGTCCCAGGTGTGTCCCAGGTGTGTCCCAGGTGTGTCTCACCTGCACCCGTGACTCAGGTAAGTTGATTTTGAGCGCCACCTCCTCGCGCATGAAGATGTCCGGGTACCGGGTTTTGGCGAACAGCGCCTCCAGCACGTCCAGCTGTGCCCGCGGTGAACGTCGTGCGCTCCCGGCGCTGCTTGCGGGGGGTGCCTGGGGGGCACAGAGACCCCCGGGGTGGGGAGTGAGGGGAGAGACCCCCGGGGGTGGGGAGAGACCCCCAGAATGGGGAGAGACCCCCGAGAATGGGGAGGGAGCCCCGGGAATGGGGAGAGACCCCCGGGAATGGGGAGAGATCCCTGGGAATGGGGAGAGACCCCTGGGAGTGGGGAGAGACCCCCGGGGGTGGGGAGTGAGGGAGGGACCCCCGGGAATGGGGAGGGACCCCTGGGATGGGGAGAGACCCCTGGGAAAGGGGAGAGACCCCTGGGAATGGGGAGAGACCCCCGGGAATGGGGAGGGACCCCTGGGAATGGGGAGAGACCCCTGGGAAAGGGGACGGACCCCCGGGAGTGGGGAGGGATCCCCGGGAATGGGGACGGACCCCCGGGATTTCAGGAATGGGGAATTGGGGATGGGGGAGAGACCCCTGGGATGGGAGGGGACCCCCGGGATTTGGGGAATAGGGGGAGAGACCCCGGGAATGAGGGAAAGACCCCCGAGAGTGGGGAATGGGGGGAGAGACCCCCGGGGATTTGGGAATTGGGGATTTCAGGAATGGGGAATTGGGGATGGGGGAAAGACCCCCCGGGAATGGGGAGAGACCCCCGGGAATGGGAGGGACCCCTGGAATTTGGGGAATGGGGAATTGAGGATGAGGGAGAGACCCCCGGGATTTGGGGAACTGGGGAATGGGGATTTCGGGAATGGGGAATTGGGGAGGGGGGAGAGACCCCCGGGATTGGGGAGAGACCCCCGGGATTTGGGGACCCCCCGGGACCCTCCCCCCTCCCACCCCCCTCAAGACCCCCCCCCAATTTTGGGGTACCCGGGTACCCCACGGGGGGGGGCAGCAGCTCCAGGCCCAGCCCGGGGACGCCCCCAAAGTGCGGCTGCTTCAGGTACGACATCATGGCGGGGACACCTGGGGACAATCAGGGGACAATGAGGGGACAATGAGGGGACACCGATGGCACCCGGGGCTGGCACCGACCCCCTCGGCCCCCACAGTGTCCTCCTGATGTCCCCAAGCCCCACAGGTGTCCCCCCAGTGTCCTCAATGTCCCCCCAATGTCCCCATGGTGGCCCCGTCCCCATGTCCCCAAGGCCCTGGTGGCCCTGGTGGCCCTGTCCCCAAGGCCCCGTCCCCATGTCCCCCAAGGCCCTGGTGGCCCTGTCCCCCTGTCCCCAGCCCTGTGATGTCCCCAAGCCCCTCGGTGTCCCCCCCAATGTCCCCATGGTGTCCCCATCCCCATGTCCCCAAGGCCCTGGTGTCCCCCACAATGTCCCCAGCCCCATGGTGGCCCTGTCCCCCTGTCCCCATCCCCATGGTGTCCCCGTGCCCCTGTCCCCAAGGCCCCGGTGTCCCCATCCCCATGTCCCCATCCCCATGGTGGCCCCGTCCCCCTGTCCCCAGCCCCATGGTGGCCCCATCCCCCTGTCCCCAAGGCCCCCTGGGTGTCCCTGTCCCCCGTCCCCATCCCCATGGTGGCCCCGTCCCCCTGTCCCCAAGGCCCTGGTGTCCCCATCCCCCTGTCCCCATCCCCATGGTGGCCCCGTCCCCCTGTCCCCAAGGCCCCCTGGGTGTCCCCAGGGCCGTACCTGCGCAGGTGACACGGTGACAGGGCTGCAGGTGGCCCGGCGGCAGCGATGGTGCCACGGTGGTGGCGCGGTGACAGTGCCAACGGTGACGCCGGCGGTGGCACCAACGGTGGCAGGGGAGGCACCCCCCGCGGCGGGGGGAGCCTTAAGTAGCCCCCGGTGATGTCACCCCCTAATCCCAGGGGACAGAGGTGACATTGGTGGCCCGGTGGCTAATCCGGGGTGGCACACGGGGGGGGACACTGGGGACAGGGGGGGACAAAAGGGGGGCACAGAGAGGGGACAGAGAAGGGACAGTGGGGGGGACATTGGGGGGACAAAAAGGGGACATGGAGGGGACAAAGGGGGGTGACAGAGAGGGGACATTGGGGGGACACAAAGGGGACATTGGGGGGACACAAAGGGGACATTGGGGGGACACCGGTGGGACATTGGGGGGGACAGAGAGGGGACAGAGAAGGGACAGTGGGGGGGATATTGGGGACATTGGGGGGACACAAAGGGGACATTGGGGGGGATATTGGGGACATTGGGGGGAACATGGAGGGCACAAAGGGGGTGACACAAAGGGGACATGGGGGGGACATTGGGGGGACACTGAGGGGACAGAAAGGGGACAAGGTGGGGGACATTGGGGGGGGACATTGGGGGGCACAAAGGGGTGACACAAAAGGGACATGGGGGGGACATTGGGGGTGACACAGGGGGGGACAGAGGTGACATTGGTGGCCCGGTGGCACACGGGGTGGGGGGGACACAAAGGGGACATGGGGGGGGACATGGGGAGGACACCGGGATCGGAGGGGACACAAGGGGGACATCGGGACTGGGGGCACCAGGACTGGGATTTGGGGACACTGGGGACACCGGGATTGGGGGACAGTGGAACTGGGGCTGGGGACACCAGGATTTGGGATTTGGGGGACATTGGGAGTTGGGGACACCAAGATTTGGGATTTGGGGACACCAAGGTCTGGGCACATTGGGGACACCAAGATTTGGGATTTGGGGACACCAAGGTCTGGGGACATTGGGGACAACGGGACTGGGGACACTGGGATTTTGGGGACACCAAGATCCGGGGACATTGGGGACACCGGGATTTGGGGATATTGGGACTTGGGGACACTGGGACTTGGGGACATCAAGGTCTGGGGACATTGGGGACACCAAGATCTGGGGACTTTGGGATCTGGGGACACCGGGATTTGGGGACTTTGGTGATTTGGGGACTTTGGGATTTGGGGACCCCAGGCCCGGGATTGGGGGCCGTTTTTGGGGTGGGGGAGGGGCGCAGGTGGCACTAATCCGGCCCAGCTGCCGCGTCTGGGCCCGAGGGGACACTTGGGGACAGCGGGGGGGGGGGGGCGGGGCCAAACGGGGGGGGAGGGGCTGGGGGGAGGGGAACGACCCCTCCCCCCCCCAAAAAAAATCCTGAAATCCTTCAGAGGGTTTTTGTTAAAAATTTCTATTAAATAATCCGATTTTTAATATAAAAAAATAGGAGAATTTGAATTTTAAAAATCAGGGGGTTTTATATTAAAAATAGGAGAATTTTTAAATTTAAAAAAAAATCGATTTTTTCTATTAAAAATAGAGGAGATTTCTACTTTTAAAAATCTGATTTGTTATATTAAAAATAGAGGGGATTTGGATTTTAAATATCTGATTTTTTCTATCAAAAATAGGAGAATTTTGATTTAAAAATCTGATTTTTTATATTAAAATAGAGGAATTTTTATATAAATATCACATTTTAAAAATTAAAAATAGAGGAGATTTTGATTTAAAAATCCGATTTTTTATATTAAAAAGAGAGGGGATTTGATTTTAAAAAATCTGATTTTTTACATTAAATATGGAGGGGGTTTTGATTTTAAAAATCCGACTTTTTTATATTAAAAAATAGAGGGATTTTAATATAAATATCACATTTTTAAAACGAATAATAGAGGAGATTTTGATTTTAAAAAATCCAATTTTTTATATAAAAATAGAGGGGATTTGGATTTTAAAACCCAATTTTATTCCACACCCCCCCCCCAAAATCCCCGATTTCTCCCCCCCCATCCCAAATTCCAGCGCCCCCAAATTTGGGGAAATTGTGATTATATAAATATCACTCCTTTTTCAATATTAAAAATGTGATATTTATATCACAATTCCCTTATTTTTAATATTAAAAAATTAGATTGTTTAAATAAAAATTCCCTCTATTTTTATAATATTAAAGTTGGATTTTTAAAATCCAAATCCCCTCTGTTTTTTAATATAAACCCCTTGATATTTATATCAAAATCCCATCTATTTTTTAGTATAAAAAATTGGATTTTTAAATCTAAATCCATCTATTTTTTATATAAAAAATCTGATTTTTTAAATGAAAATCTTCCTATTTTTTAATACAAAAAATCAGATTTTTAAAATCCAACCCCCTTCTATTTTGAATACTCAAAATTTGAATTTTTTTTACTCAACCCGCCCCAATTTTTCAATTAAAATTTTCCCCAATTTTCGGCCCCTTTGAGGAATTTCCCTCCCCTCCCCCCCCCCCGCCCCTCCCCCTCCCCCCCGGCCCCGCCCCTCCCCCTAATCCCGATTATGGGGACAAAATTATCCCGGGCTGTCAGCACCAATCAAGGGCCCGGGATCATCCCTAATTAACCCCCCCGCTGTTAATTAACCCCCCCGGGCCTTAATTAACCCCGGAGTTGGAGAAAACCCCCAAAAATTTGGGTGGAATTTGAGGAAATTTGGGATTTTTGGGGGGGATTTTCCTCATTTTGGGAAGGCAGAGAAGCCACGCCCACCCAAATTAACCCCCCCCCATTTCTTAATTAACTCCCCCATTTCTTAATTATCCCCTCCATTCTCTAATTAACCCCGGAATTGGAGAAAACGCCCAAAAATTTGGGTGGAATTTGGGGAAATTTGGGATTTTGGGGGGATTTTATTATTCTGGAGCAATTGGGGTAAAAGTGCCCCCAAATTCCCCCTTTTTTGACCCCAAAACCAAATGGAGAAAACCGAGAATTCAAAATCCCTGGGAATTCTCAAAATTTCCTGCCTTGGATACCCTGAGTGTCAAAAAAAACCTAAAAAAATCAAAAAAATCCCAAAAAACCAAAAATAAACCACCCCTAAAACCCCAAAAAATCCCCCAAAAAATCCCCCAAAACCAAAAATAAATCCCCCCAAAAAAACCCCAAAAAACAAAACCCAAAACCCCAACCCCGCTCAAAACACCCCCAAAAACCCAAAAAGGCCCAAAAAAACCCCAAAAAAACCCAAAACCCACCCCAAAAATCCAAAAAAAAACCAACCAAAAAAACCCTAAAAAACTCCCCCCAAAAAATCCCCAAACCTCCCCCCAAAAACCCCAAAAATCTTCCAAAAAAACCCCAACACCCCCCCCAAAAAATCCCCCAAAAAATTCAAAAAAACCCTCAAGAAAACCTCCAAAAACCCCAAAAAACCCAAAATCCCCCCAAAAAAATAAAAAATAAAAAAACCAAAACACAAACCCAACAAAGCCCCCAAGACACCCCCACAAAAAAACCCCAAAAAAACGCGAAACCCCCAAAATTTTTGTTAATTTTACCCAGAGCCACGGTGGCACCTTGGGGACACTCGGTGACGAGGCGAGGGCACAAAGGGACCAAGGAATTTATTGGGGACACGGAGGTGGCCCCAGAGATGGGGAGGGGACACTGGGGGGACACTGAGGGGACACCAAGGGGACACCAAGGGGACACCAGGGTGGGTGGAGAGGGGGACATTGGGGACACTGGGGACATTGGGGACATTGGTGGCACCGAGGTGACATCAGAGCTTGGCAAAGGGGACATTGGGGACACTGGGGACATTGGGGACATTGGGGACATTGGGGACATTGGTGGCACTGAGGTGACATCAGAGCTTGGCAAAGGGGACATTGGGGACATTGGGGACATTGGGGACATTGGGGACATTGGTGGCACCGAGGTGACATCAGAGCTTGGCAAAGGGGACGTCCTCGGGTCCCTTCTTGTCCAGGGCCGCCTGCACCGACTTGGGGATGTCCTCGGTCTGCAGCATGGCCATGTTCCAGGTGGCCTGGGGACATTGGGGACATTGGGGACAGTGACAGGGACATCGGGGACATTGGGGACACTGGGGGGATTTGGGGACATTTGGGACATTGGGGGCATTGGGGACATTGGGGATGTCCTCGGTCTGGAGCATGGCCATGTTCCAGGTGGCCTGGGGACATTGGGGACATCACTGGGGACATTGGGGACATTGGGGGGGATTGGGGACACTGGGGACA